AATAATTAAAGTAAACCCTCAGTTTGATTTTTACACAACCTCAGTAGGTCAGAACAAATAGCTCCTAAAGTGACCTGTGTCAGTAATATGTTCTCAAGTCATGTACAGGAGGTAATAAGAAACTATTTTGCAGCAAAGGCGTACATTTGTACAAATTATTGTGACAAAGGTTAAAAGAAATACAGAAACCACCGTGAAAATATTAACTTGATATGCCTGAAGTCAATGAACATATTAAGCAACTGATGCATACGCACACAAAACTCCATCATAATTGAAAGCATAGGATAACCTTCGTATCATCCATTATCAAATTCATTAATAATTCATAAGGTAAACACAATTATAGAAAATCATTACCGTGACCGCATCTTTATATGAGCAAGAGATTTGTCCTGATTTGCATACGAATTTAACTTCGATTTTCTCTTTCAAATGATATTCTATCCTGAATTTTTTTTCCAAATATGCTTTACCTTATGTTGGAATTTGATATATTACATAAGAGTCAAAAAGTGCCATTGATAATATGTTCTCTTTTGCTTGATCAAAATTGACAAACCTCAATGATCACATTCTTCAAAACATGCTGACTCGTCAACAACAAGTACCATAAAATCATGAAATGAAAACGTTTATTGGAAAATGATGATATGTACAAGTAACTATAATATAATAATTACAATAACTGTATGTCAATATTTAGCTAAGCTTGAATGGAATACAGCAATACAAATTTTTTAAGTTCAAACATTTTTCCCTGGGAAAAAATCATTTGCCCAGTTACTAAACTACAAATGGCCTATTTCTAAAATAAGATGTATGAACTATATCATAAATCTAATATAATAGATTTATATACTATAAATCCACTCGATTATTACGAATTTAGATGATTCTTTTGTTAGAGATCTACTTATATCAGGTGCGTATTCAGGAAATGGGGTCACAGGGTGCCCGTGATCCCCCCTTTCAAAGCCAAAAACGTGCAAAAACCATTGATTGATATGACATCACTCATGTCAAATGACGTCACAGTGACAATGTAAAGACACCCCAATGAAAATCCTGGATACGCTTATGTATATGTTTAGTATTCAGATTTCTAGTTCAACTAAGTTATGCATATTATATATTATCTATTTCTAAAAAGCTTATGTGTAGAAATCTTATTTAATGCTGGCTTTTCTAAGTCAGATTCTCCGACTTTTGCCCTAGTTTTTACGACTACATAAAAAAAGCAAAATCACTCTGGCTTCCTTATCACACGCCCATCGTATGGATTATAGTAGATGTTTTCAGATGATAATAATTGGCTAAGATGTAGCCCTTTGTCATTACTCCTCGTAATGTGAAGTGAAGTAATAAGATTTGAATCTCTTAAGAAAATAAGGTTTTTGACACGAGCCAGACTGCAATAGATGCAACTCATGGAACATCCAAGGTGAAGTGTGTTGATGTGTGTACATGACAGTAATCGACTTATTGATGATAGGCTCTCATCAGAAAATGAAGTAGAATGAAAGAGAAGAGTGTTGATGAGTGTAAATGGTAGCACAACGAAAAGTGATGTTATCTGTTTATAATCTAAAAAAAACCCTTCCAGATGGAGTGTGGTGATTTTTGTGTATGGTAATACTTCAATGAAGGATGCAAATTCTGCTATAAAGTTCCCATGACCACTAAGTCGAAGTGTGGTGAGTTTTGTTGAAGCCAACACTTGAGTTAGGGATGACAAGTCTTCATAAGTGAACATGTGGTCCTCCAAATGTAGTGTGGCAATTTGTGTTGATGGCAATGCTTGACTGAGTGGCGATAAATTAAAATTGAAACCTTTAAGTTCTAGTGTAGTGATGTTTGTTGATGGTAATACCCCAGTAAGAGAAAATAGCACTTCATTAGTTAAACAATTACCCTCAAAGAGAATTGTGCTGATATTTGATGGTAGCCTTTGACAAAGGGATGACAATGCGCCACAAGGAAATTCATGATGCTTAAGGTGAAGTGTTGTTATTTTTGTTGATCCCAATACTTCACTGAGAGATAACAGCCCTTCATCAGAAAAACTATTATCCTCCAGGCGAAGTGTGGTAATGCTTGTTGATGGCAATACTTGACAGAGGGATGCTAAAACTTTATCGGAGATATCATAACCATTTAAGCGAAGCATGGTGAGCTTTGTTGATGGCAATGCTTGAGTAAGAAGAGATGATAGTTCCTCATCAATACAAATATGATTTGCACAAAGGAGGTGAAATGTGGTGATGAATGTTGATGGTGATTCCTCTCTGTGGAATGACAATACTACAGCAGTAAAATTCTTACCCTTCAAGTGTAGTGTGGTGATATGTGTCATTGATGATAAGGCTTCAATGAGGAATGATAGACAATGAATGACAGTAAAACCATTACCCCAAAGGTTAAGTGTGGTTATATGTGTTGATCGCAAAACTTCACTAATGGAAGATAACCCTTCATCAGTAAAATGATTACCCTGAAGTTGAAGTGTGGTGATGCATGTTGACGGCAATGATATACTAAGTGATGTTAATAATTCATCAGTAACATTGTTACCCGTAATGTGCAGTGTGGTGATGCATGTTGATGGTAATACTGTGCTCAGGTATAATAAATCTTTGTAAGAAAAATCATTACAGTGAAGCGTGGTTATGCGTGTTAATGGTAATGCCTCAATAATCTCAGATTCCGGCGACCCAAGATCACTGGCAGAAGAGCTATAAGAACGCACCTTCAAGGTGACAATAGGGCAGCTAATGTGTTTTAGTGATTGAGCTAATTTATTTACGTCTGACATTGGCTCAAAGCTGCACTTCAATTCTTTTATCATGAACACCTGCGAAGGTGAGCTCATTTGATCTTCTTTGACTTTACAGAAATCGTTAAGGCACTCAAGCAACCATACCAAATCTTCATAATTATTGTGATTAGGTAAGCTATAGTTACGATTAGAAGACAAATCTCCAAAAAGGGCACCATCAAAGTTACAAAACCAGGATATGTTCTCTTCAATAATCTTGAATGCAAATTCTTTGTCTCCATACTCACGCAGAAGCTTTGCAGCAACCATAGACTCCTTAGAGTCGCGATCTGGTGACATTGGTATTGTCGATACCGTTTCCATTAGCCTTACCCCACCTTCCTTTTGAGACAAGAGACCAGCACAAAATTGGAGTACCATTTCATCACTCTTTGCTTTAAGCTTGGGTATTGTACCACTATTGACAAATCCAAGAGCTGCAAAGTATTCATGCAGAGTTAGATGGGAAAAACAATACTCTCTTGTGACTGTGAGCGGCCCTGTTCTGAAGCTAGGTCCACAGGTAATCAGCCCACATGATTTTAGATTGTCCATCTCCTCATCTGTCAAATGATAACCTCTTATGTCTGTGTCATTGAATATGAATTTGTTTGTGAGGTATGTTGTGGCTGCCAACTGTGACAGCTTCTCCACTGTATCTGTAATCACAGGTGGAACATTGTAGCTCTCGGGTACTTCCGTTGCTCTGTATTGTGATTTACAATGATGCTTTAGCTCAAAAATTTCCACGACTTCTGAATAAATTGCTGTTATGGTTGTGGGGAGACTTGTTTGTTTCCTAGATTCGATATGCCATTCTAGACACCAGCACATCAGGTAACAAAGCATAGGGATGTGTGCTAAACTCAGCAAATTTTCATTATTCACGATGTGGTCTTTTGTGGCATTCTTTATATCTTCCCTCTTTGATTTGAAGTATCTTTCAATGAACTGTTTAACTTGTTTAACAGAAAACCCAGCTATTTCAACCAATGAATCCTTATGTATCCCTCCCAGCTCATTGGATTCTGTTGTCCTTGATGTCACCATAACGACAGAACCACTAAACACCTTCTTTCTTAAAAGTTTGGAAATCAAGGCAGCCACAGGCATCTGATGTCGCGGGTCGCATGGGTAATTCTGTTCAAATTGACAATCATATATTCTTGAACGATTGGAGAACTCGTCGTAACCATCAAGCATAAACAAGACCTTTTCTGGATGTTCAATCAAGTGTTCAAACAGAGATTCATCTATGACTGAGTGCTCATCTACAGAACAGTGGTTCAAAATGTCGCGGAAACTGACCTCTTTGTTCTCAAAAAGATTCAATTGACGAAAGGTCATCAAAAAGACAAAGTCAAAACCACCTGACGTTTCGGTGTTACACTCATTACTTTGAAACAAAGCACCATCAGCCCAATCTCTACAAAGCCTTTGACAAAAAAGAGATTTTCCTATGCCAGGTTTTCCAATCACTTGAATGGATTTTGGATTGGTCTTGTCTTGTTCTGGGTTGATGAATATGTCTTGACATCTGTCAATCAGACAAGCCTTTGGTGTGTTGAATTGCGCGAGCTGTTCAGTCCTTACAGATGCTTTCATCTCAATGGGTTCCCATCCACGTTGAATCATAAGGCTGGTGAATATGTCATCTGTTCTGATGCTTGGCACAGAATGGCTGGCCAACAGTTTAGGTTGGAATTCAGTTTGGGATTTTATTGACACTTTCAGCTTTTCAGAAAAACCTTTAACATCTAAAATCAAATGGCAAAAATTGGATTAATTTACGTGGAAATCAGTTTAAATTTTAAATCAAATTTTAAATGCAAATAAAAATTCTTTCAGCTGCACCTGTCAGTTTTAAATTGAGCTTTGATTGTAAAAATCAAAACAAAAATTAAACACATCATATTATTCATTACTGTGTGGAAAATGTCAATTTTGCAAGCTGATAACATACAGCGGTTCTCGGTGTTACACAGTAGCCTCGACAGTTTATTTACTATATCTCGTTTCAGAATGTATTCAGGGGCAGACCATAAGACTTTTGAAGGGGAGGGGTAGATAATTTAATTTCGAACAAGGCAAAATTACTAAATTTAGAAAATGACAAATTTTACCATGACAACAACCACAAAAAAATTGTTCTCACTGACCTTCACTTGACAGTTTGGTGAATTTTGCATTGTCTTGTTTTGGAATCTCTTTGATAATCTGTTCCAGTCCTTGCTGTATACCTGAAATACCTTGCTTGAACTCTTGTTGTAGACCTGACTGACCTTGCTTGAGCTCTTGTTGTCCTTGTTGTAGATCTGACTGACCTTGCTTGAGCTCTTGTTGTCCTTGTTGTAGGCCTGACTGACCTTGCTTGA